ACTTTATTAAAGAATTAAAGTGTGTACTACAACCTGGGCGGTCAGTTTAGGGATGGGCTAATAACAAATCATATCGATAAATATCGTGTCGATGTTTACAAATAGTATCGATATTTATGGTAAAATCATCTTTATACAATATTGATAGTTTTGGCTAAAGCCATTAATCATCTTCCCTATTCTGCCATCATTGCAGATACGCGAGTTTTTGGCAAAAACGTTCCACCGATTAATTGCTGCTTCTGTAAAAACGTTTAAATACTTTTTTTATAAAACTGAAGTGACAAATGACTTAATAGTCCATCTGATGGTTAGTGGCTTCTACATTTACGTACAATATACATAATATATTTATATACGAACACTTCATGCAACTAACTTTAAATAATGAAGGTTATAGATGCTGAATTTTAAATGCAAAATCAGTAAGCGCAAAAAATATCAACAATTTTTTATATTATTTGGTAACAGACCAACACACAGTCTACCTTATTGTAAGTGGATGCTATGGCACATTTATCCTCAATTAATAATCAAAATGCAGATGCGTTGTCATCCCTGAGGACTAAGATAAAATGCCATGCGATTTCAGTAAAAACAGTCTTAGCATTATGTTGCTATTTTACGCTGGAATTTTGTGAGAGCGTGGTCCTGCCTCGGTCGAGCCGACCTATTTAGCAGTATTTAGTAGCTGCAGCGTGGCACTACCACGTAAGTAATAAAACTAAACTAAAATAAAATATTCAAAAGTTTATTATAGAATGTTAACGTTGTAACATCAACTTATGATATTCAGCCTCGACGTGTATAGACAGCCGGTATAATAACAGACTGTGAGGCACTCGGCTCTTTCCTCTCATTTCCGAAAAGAGTGATTAAGTTGTAAAACCCAACACATTTTTTTTTGATTTATTTAGGACAACCAACAAGAAGTACACGAACACAATGTAAATACTACAAATTACAGGAAGGTTTATATCTAAGTGTCATCTTAATTAAAGGCAATGCAATGTGGACAACGAATATGTTTTTTAAAACTTACAACTATAAACTTAAAACTAGGTCTAAATGTTAGTTAAAAGTAAAGGACTGCATAATTTTTCGTCGTCACAGTTTAAATTTACGCCAAATATAATGATTTCTTATATTTACGCGAACACTACACATTGAATAAAACTATTTTTACGGATTTTATCGCGTTTATTTTACTATTGTTTTTAATTCCCGACGTTCTTTCTTTCCAGTCCCCCGTGACCATGGGTGCTGGAAAGCGCCCGAAACGTCGGGAATTAAAAATAATAGTAAAATAAACGCGATAAAATCCGTAAAAGTAGTTTTACGCCAAATATAACAATCAACTTACAATAAATTATATGAATTTGAATTAAGTAATAACGCATCTTTAGTCTTCTTTGTTTGAAGTTAGCTACAGACGTCCATGGTCTGCAGTAACCTCTTACCATCAAGTGCTTGACACTTCAATTTTAAAGAAATATTAAATATATCGATATTTTGATATATCGATATTTTGATATATCGATATTTTTATTTTAACCAACCCTAGGTCAGCCAGTCTGGCTCTCCGCCGACGAGCATCGAGCGCGTTTAACGGGCGTCTGTCGCCCACGACAATGTAGGTTCGCCCTCGATCTGGTCTCATTAGTTCTGCCTCGCCACCGGCGGCTAAGCGCAGCTCGGTTTGAATCCCGGTCAAGTAGGGCACGATGTGGCTCGTATTATTAATACGTAGTATTGTTACTAAGATATTCTGTTATATTGAGTAACAAATTAGTAAGCGTTGAACGCGTTCTATCCCCGTCGGCACCAAAAAAAATTGCAATTTCATTGGTGTTAATTGTAATTTAAAGTGCTGATTAATAACGTACTTGACGGTGAAAGAAAACATGCTGAGAATTTTATAAAAATATCTGTAAATATAAGGCCATAAAGTCCGCAGACATTGTATTATAATAACATCCCATACAATATTTAATATTATAAAGACTCATCAGCAACTCTACTTGAGTTATCGATGAGTCTTTGTCTGTTTTATGATTAATTATGTTAGGACATCAAAATTTCAAGCATATAATATACCAGCACCTGTACCCGCAGCAATTACCGGCGTAGACGTTAACTTGTCTTGTCCATGTTTAAAGACCTATCCATTGAAAGACACTTTTGAGATCCTTGAACATAGTGATGAAGTCCTCCAGCGATTCTACTATAAAGACTATGTCGTCGGTATAAGTTAGGTCGAAGGTAAGTGATGTACTCGCCATTGGTGATGATAATACCGTATCATTTCTAGTCAAGTGCCTTTAAAACGTCTTCTAATGCAGATTAAAGAGTTTCGATGAAATAACGTCAACCTGTATTACACCTCTCTACAACTGAATAGGTTTCATGCTCTGGTTCAGTACTCTGACGTCGATCGTGGCCCTACTATGCAAAACCTTCAAAGCTCTTCGATGTACCAAAAGCGATAGTTGGCACCTGAGAAGCCTGTAGTCTGCCAAAATTTCTACAGAAACAAATTTTTTTCATAGTCCACATACACAAGACAAAGTGGTGGATTTTTAACGGTCTTGGGTGCAATTTGCCGAAGGGAGCTGTGTATGTATTTTATGATCCTAAAGCTTTTACGGAAAACGACTTGTTCGGGAAGCTGAACGCGGTTAAATCAGCAGGTGAGAAGGTTCGTGATTCTCGAAAACAGCAAGGAGACTCGGCTCAAAAATGCAAATCGATTTGTAGATATTCAATACAGCGCTGTCACCTTTCTTGAAGAAAAAGACCACCGCACTTCTGTCTCACGCTTCCGGAGTAGTCCATGGAGAACTTAAAAGGATTTGAAAGGATTCAAAAGGACTTAACCCGCTACCTCAGAAAGAACAGCAAACAGGTTAAAGTACCACTATTATACCCGCTTTCAGACGCTGCGCTATAATTTCATTTTCACCCGCGTTTTACTAGTGCTGGGTCATTCTAATCTCTCTCAGACTCAAGTCTGGGATTTTATTAAACTATGGCAGTGACACATTCCAATATGTTGGTTTAGTGCCACAAAATAAAGTCACAAAATCACGACTCGATAGGTTGCAAAGCGGTCAAATTGTTGATAAATTTTATATTTAGGACCAGCTGGTTCTGTTATAAAACACGTAAATTGTATATAGGAAGCTTACTATATGATAGGATTCCTTTTACATATTTTTGCCAGTATAATTAAATACAATCAGTCTTAGACCTCAGAGGTGACAAAGCAATTATTGTAGTCTACTTCGTTTAAAATTTGCCACAGCCTAGCCTGTGACTTGTCGGTGAAAAAGGTAAGAGTACAACCCCCTTTTTTGCCACCAAGCAGTAAACTTGGTTGGGCTTATAATGTTAGTCCTGAGATGTCTAAACCCATCTATTACTTCATCCGTTATTTATTTGAAGCTGTGTGAAACCACTTAATATCAGTGGATTATAGTTTTGTTTGTCACTTTTTTAAAGAGACTAAGGAACAGAATTAAACAGAAAACCAATTGAATCATCAATCTTTATTGGACCAAAAGACACCAACACCGTACAAAATGTCAAACGATACCATCATTAGAAACAAAACAAAAACAAAAACATTGTGCTCGCATTTGGTAATCAACAAAATAATAATAATCTGTAGATTCACTACATCATTAATCATGTAAAATATGAAGACATTTTCATTAAAATAACCATATCTTAACCTATATCATCAAATTGAATAGTATTAAAAATGCCGGAGGCATTCAAAATATGGGCAAATAAAATGTCACTTTATCATTATAATATTCACCTTTTTGCTCCATTATTAAAATATAATCCATTTAGATGTACCATGAAGTTAATATTCCGTACTGTATTTGAAATATTCATACGCATTTAATAAACTTAATAACAGAAAATATATTTTTTATTTTACTCTAAACTCTTAACTTTCAGTTTATTTCTTTGAACAAAATATATCTCGAAATTAGAAATATTTTTGATTAACTGGTAATTTTATCTTCAATATATTATATTTAAAATGAAGCTCTTTTTTATTTTTAAATTTTCATTACCAACAATAATATTCCGCTTATACCAACGCAACTTTCATGAAACAGGCTAAGAACAAAATGAAAGTTTTTTTTTTACCAACAAGCCATATATAAAATATTATGAAGTTCAAAGTCTATGTATTATTTATTTTTATAATCAATACTTTTTAAAGAAATGTATTTGGTATAACATAGAGCTATAACGTGCTCTTTTATTAAAATTATTACAAAACAAATATAATAACTTATAACCTATAAAACTATTCACATAATGTTAACATTATGAAATATTTTCATTGACAATAGTTATTACAATTGTTTTTTTTTTGTCTGAATTGATTTTGTCAATAGGACTTTTTATGTTTCGAAATGAAAAATAATGTTATATTTTAACTCCAAATTCAATACAATAGGGAATTAAAATGGTTTTAGATATTTCTTACAGATAAAAGATACTTCATGCCCACAGATTGGGAAAATATAATATTTAATAAAATAGCAGTACTTATTTGATTCACACTATAGACAAAACGTGCTTATTACTGTAAAGTTGTATAAATATAATGAGATTAAATGAAAAAAAAATATTTTTTATATAAAGTAACGTCAAAATGTTTTTTATTCAATTTATTAACCAGAAAAAAAGTCAATAAAATAAAGTAATAAATGTAAGGAAATATCAAGTTGATATTTACTTCGAATATAATAAAATTATAATTTAAGATACTTGCAATGTTATTAATTTTACCTAAGCTTACATTAGTAAACAACATTAACAAGCATATCTAACAAAAACCGCAGATCATGTAAATTTACACATCTCATCTAGCTGTGCATACTACGATTTTTAATTAAAAGTAATTAATACACATAAAAATCAAACAATATTTTAACTAGCAACACTGGTTTCTGTGTTTCTTTATGATATACATTCTAAAAAAATTTTTCAAACATTAATCTTTTCTCCAATGCAGCCCAATTCGGATCAAGCGGGGGATGCTCGTATTTGTTGTATACATTAACGTCTCGGATAACAGATGGCGGTTTCTCTCCAAACCTTACATAATACTCTGTAGCGTTGTTAGATGGCGCTAATTTTTTCGCGCGGCGACGACCAGAAGCAGTGCGGATGCTTCTCATCATGGCGGCCGATTTTTCCCGCTCTGTAGGAATATCAATAGATATTATTATTATTATTTTATAAAAATTAAGTGACCAACGAAATTACAGTCCTCGTGATGGTAATTGGCTACACCGATACCTGAATCCAACTTCAAACAGAAAGATGCAGGTGCGTTGCCACCTCTGAGGACTAAGATGGAATACCTCACAGCCTATAATTATGCTGACTCTATACCCTTCAGGATATATAAGATATTTTAAATCAATATTAGACTACTATCCCACTTGATAAATTGTGATATAGATGTGTTGTTTCGTTTTTTCAAGTTTGTTTTGTCAAGCTTTTAAAATATACTATTGGTAACACCATTGATTTGACTTTCATCGGATAAGTCCTGCTTATAAATTGCTTACTGATACGATTCTCATTAATGAAAGTAAACGGAATTTATTTAACTTCGAAAGTGCATTTATACTATTTTCAAACGTACAATTCACCTGGAATCGTGATTGTCAATCCCAGCCATCAGATTGTCCGACTCGTTCCACAAAACAAAAAGTCCATGTTTACGTATTGGGTGGAATTCAAAAATTTCTAATTATTAAATAAAATTGTGAAAAACAAATCACAGCAATAGCAAATACAATTTTTTAAAACATAACAACATAGTGGTTGGCGGTATTTTTGAACAAGTGGTGATATAATCATCCATCGATATGGTACATGATGGTGTTGCCATGTAAATTTACCCATTGATTTAATTTTATTTAATTTCTGCGCATTTTTCAATTCATTCTCTTGAAAGGATTACACGAACATAATCATATCAAGATACCTTATAAGTATTCTCATATATTGGACTCGGTATTTTTACAATTGTATGATAAATTAATTGTTGGAATTTCAGAAAAAGAAGAAAAAACTGCAGTGACTAAACCTCCTGCAAAGCGTGGTAACTATGGTAAATCTCCCCCATTCTTAAGGTAGTCTATGGGGGAGACCTAAGTCAAGCAGTGAACTTTTAATAAGCTGTAACTTTCAGGTCATCAGTCATCCGGTAGTGGGCCAGCCTACAGTTTGCTTATCGGCTGTCGTGTTGGTTCTTCCAGAAAATGTTCAGTCCATTATTGCTACTTTAGCTTACTGATATGTTGACATAGGTGAAAAAGGTGTGTGTGTGGGGGATGTACGCATGTGCGTGTGTGCGTGCGTGTGTGGATGTGTGCGTGCGTACGTGCTTGTGTGCGTGCGTGCGTGCATGTGTGTGTGCGTGCTTCTGCGTGCACGTGTGCGTGCGTGTTTGCATGTGTGCGTGTGTATGTGCGTGCGTGGGTATGTGCATGTGTGCGTGTGTGCTTATTTACCGTCGGACGTGGCGAGCGGGCAGTACTTGAGCGTGTGTGCGTTGTCACCACGTGCGCCGCAGCGCCGGCACACGAGCGCACGCAGCACGGGGCAGCACAGGCGCCCCGCGGATCGAAGCACGTGCCCGAGGTACCAGGCGGGGCGCTCGCCATTACTGCGGCAGAACGCGCACCCGCGTATATCTTCAGTCTGCAACCACCGAAACAAACTATCAGTGCGAGCTATATTTCTTACACGTACGTAAAGAATTTAAAAATATAATAGAATCGTTTTTATTCAATACAGTTACCGTTAAATGGCATTGTAAGAATATCCCCTAACACATGTCATCCCATGGGTGTCGTGCGAGGAGGTACAAATTTGCAAAGTAGGTTCAAAATAAGTAATATACGCGAATGATGAAAATAAAATAACACATAAAATCTTAAAATGCGTGTTAAAATGCAGAATTCGTGATAATGCATTATTTTAACTGATTGACATTCATAAATATCTAACGCCTACTATTTTAATACGCACGCCCAAATTCGTAAGGGTTGCTGGGTTAGAGATTTAAGCACCTTGACGTGCGTGTTCTCGCAATGCTTCCCTTCTGTTAACCATTACACCGCTAGGTACCTTCCACCTACCCAGCCAGCCGACAACTGACTGTGTTGACCATAACCTCATTACTTACGAGTGTACTATTTTTAAATCTTTGTAGGTAATATCGCTGCTTTACCAAAGACGGAACTAAAATATTCGACTCGTAAATACTATGAAACTATGAAATTACATTTGAAGTAATGAAAGTTTACGTGGTGCGCAAAGATTAAACGAAATTGAGTTTTTACCGTAGCTAGAAAGTAGTACCTAGCAATCGAAGAATAATTGATAACTAATCAAACAATTCAAGTGCAGTGAGCAATAATTTAAATATTGAATATGAAGATAGGTGCATTGAGATTTGAGGTCTTGTACTATAGTCGGCGAACCTTCAAGAAACAAAAACAAAAACTTTTTTATTCAATAAGGTTTATAAATAATATTTATTGAAAGTCACTTTCTTTTATTTTACCACTGGTTCGGAAAAAAACCACTGTCCTGGGAAGAACCAGCAAGAGACCGAGCGAGACTTTTTTTTTAAGAAAATAACAGCTTACAATCTTCAAATTTTATACAAACTTAGTTAAATAAGGTTTTTAAACTTTTTGCAGGTAAAATTTTGTATAATTTCTGGGAATTTATTATAAAAGTGTATCAATGCCCCAATAATGAATTACTGACTCGGTGGAATCGAGTAACTGGTACTACTGGCTTGTGTCTGTTATTAGTATTTACAGAATGAATATCACTTATTTTTGTAAAACTACTTTTATTTTAAAATATTTACAATTAGTATTCATAACTCACAATATTTTAAAAAAAACTATAATATAGAAAAACTAAAACTAAAAATTTAAATTGTCATAAAGACCTACTCCCCGTGGTATTATGCCAAAAACGCTGGCTGCGTTTCCTCGCTGAGAAGCTATACTTTGCCTTTGAGTGCGAAAATTACCAGCCATTGATACAGTTCCTTTAGTAAATTCACAAGCTCACTGCACATGATCACTTCACATGGACTCCGCGGATTGATAGTCTCTACAGCAAATGGCACAAATATGTAGTCATTCCTCAAAGACTAATATTAGTGCCATTTACTTAACTTGGCTGCCCTTGAGATGAGAAACCGACAAAAAGTCAACGCAAATAGCATCTCACACCTAGGGCTTTATCTCCCAAGGGACCAAAGTCATACCGTCGGGTCTCTTGCCATCGTCTCTAAATATCCCGCAAGGCTCTAAAACCGAGGGAATATTTATGGACGCAAGAGCCCTTCGCATTACTTTGTTCAAAGAACCGTGACAGAAAAACCTACGTGCACATTTCTTACGTGAAAGTTCGTGGAGCTCAAACTCATCGACGCTGCTGCCACAGGGGCACTGGTGAGGTTGACAAATTGACGCTCTTAGACGGATTCCTACGGCGATGCGAAAGCTTTCCCCATCAAGCAATGTGCCAAGATTACTTGATGGTGGTACAGCATGTAACTAGTGACCAGATTCCTTAGTCGAAACAGCTATAAGGGGAGCCTGATCTTGGCCACTGTGGAAATAGTGAAATAAATCTTTCTGGACACTAAACACTGAACGGAATATCCCACTGTTTTTGTTGGTTAACTTCCAGTGGAACATTTTCGCTGGGACAGAGCGTTAGCCATGTTTACCTTGCCTCCGCAGTATTTAATCTCAAATTTAGAATTTTTTCTAAAACTATTTTAAGGTTTTAAAATATCCGATCATTTTCAGACTGGACTTGAGCGTTTTACGTATGTAAATTTCGGTACAAGGAGAATATTTTAAAATAGTAAGGGCAATATGGGGGGTTTAAGTTATACAATTTATCAACGTGATTTAAAAACTGATCAAATTTCGTTTTTAAAACAGGTTTAATACTATCGATAAACTACGGAGCACCGAGCAGATACAGCGATTCCACATTGACAGTTTTTATTCCTGGAGAAATATGATTGAAATTTTGAATTAAAGTATCTCTGTTAGAATTAAATAAATTATTGGAAATAAATATTTTACATTTATTGCTATTTGTTGCAGAACCAATATTTTAAAATTTTTGAAGAATAAAATATGAGTAAGATCACTGAGGACGTCATCTGCTTTATCTCCCAGTGTACCATCGCCCAGACATTCAGCTTGGATTTCAAATTTGAAATAATAGTTGGAATTCCCAAACTGAAAAGAGCTGGACCTAGTGGATCGCCTTGCTGAACACCGACAGCAGACTCAATAATATGGTTTGACAAAACGAATGATAAATTTAGGGGTATTGTTAGCCACTTTTTTCAGCAGGGTTACCATATCAATAGAGTTAAAAGCATTTCTAAGGTCAAACTTCAGAAGAACATCTGCATTAGAATTTGTTTAAAAAGTACGCACCGAATGTACCGCCGTCTCACAACCACCTTTAGTGCAAAAACCTCGTTGAGTAGGCTGAAATTTTGTCTTTAGGTTTGAGATTATGTGCCTGCAAGCTAATTTTGAAGTTAAGCGTCAAAATGTGAAACCAACAGCAGTAAGACGGATACCGTTATCCTTTTTTTTTGAAGGCACACAATCTTGCCCACCAATAAAATACCAATAATAACCAACCACTAATAAAATTAATACCCGAGGTAGGTGCGGGCTAGCAAAGTTGAGATGTTCGATACTGAGCCCATCATGGCTAGGGGATTTACCTCTAGATATAGATTTAACTACCTGAGCTAACCATAAAAGTTATTTTATTTTAATTTTAATAAGAACTTTAATAAGAACTTGCAAAATGTTGTTTCTGCAACCCCGATAGAGAACATGATCATATTCTATAATGATGTCTTTTGTATGAAAGCTTAAAAAGAATAACTAAAGAAAAATGTAATAGATATTATTTAAGTACCTATTAAATTTTTTCACTTTATCACAAAAGGTACTATAAATTTTTTTCTTTGCACTCAGTTCTCCTTATGGTATATGGATGCTGCTACCCATATACATCTACTACATCTGTCCTGAATTAAGAATCAAAATGCAGATGCGTTATTTCCCTTGAGGATTTTTTTTTTTATTTTTTTTTTAAAAAACGTTACCCCTACACTAAGATTTTCTCTTGTATCGTGGGGGCAGTTTACAAACATAAATTGCACAAGGACAAACATCCAGACCCGGAACAACTATATGTAGGCCATACAAATACTTGTTCCGTGCGGGATTCGAACCCGCGACCCCCAGCGCAGCCACTCATTGCTAAGCCACTGCGCCACGGAGTCGTCAAATAAGAGAGGATAAAGATGAACTGCCTTGTTTTCAGTAAAATCCTCTCCAGTTCTCTAAACACACCATACGAAATTATTCTTTGAGAGCGTTGTCCTCTACCCGCCGAGTCGTCCTAAAACTATAACATAACTATAATATAACTGCAGCGTGATTTTACCCACACATTTACGTACATATCGCGGAAGTTTGTAAGCACGAGATTTAAACAAAATGTATATTACCTTATACTGAATCGAAGTGCCTCGCTCCCCCCTACGCAATTGCAGACTTTTTAATAAAAACTCCAATACAGCATGGGGCAAAGTACTCAGAACACGGAGCTGTTCAGGTGTGAGCATTTCTGTTTGTTCAACGTTGAGTGTAGAGGAAGATGTCGACGACATTGCTGAAGCATAAATAAATCCTAAATATATGTTAGGAATGAGGGTGAGAATAAATAACGAAGAAGGAGGGTAGAATTCTAAGTCCCTTTTTAAAGAATTATGAGGACAAATGAGATACAGTCCACCTGATGTTGAGTGGATGCTGTGGCCCGTAGACACCTAAATTCCAATAAAATTAAGATGTATTGTCACCCAAGAGGATTAAGATAGAATAAATGAGAATACTCACCAAACGAAACACAACAGCGTTAAGCTGCTATTTTACGCTGGTATTCTGCGAGAGCGTGGTCCTTCCCCGGTCGCTGGTTACGAGTATATACGCTCAATATATTTAACTGGTTGTACTACCATTTAAAAGTCTACTCACTCGAGCAGTACAAAGGCACAAGGACTTAATAGAAATCATTCATTCTACGAGTATTAATCAGAGTTATGATTCTGTGCAACAAAACTAATAACCAAGTATATTATATAAAAATTATATCCCCCACTCAACTCCCGTTCGCCTCGCCCGATCACACTTTTCATAACACTTTCGTCACGCGTTCGCCAGCTTACTCCCCAAGTCAAGCGTGCGTAAAGAAGTTCTACTTCAAAAATAATTATTTGAAGGCAGTTGAGGTAAATGCTTCTGATAAAAATAATGTCTTTAAACAAAATTAAATTTTAAACAAAAGATCTCTCTATAACCACGATCAAGTAAAATCTATATTGTAAACCAAAGAAATAATAAACGTACTATCATTACATGGCGCTGGACTGGGCAGTGGTTGCGGTAAATTTATCACCGGGGACCGCTCCGGCGCCGGCCATGACTTTTGTCGCAGGTAAACGCTTGCAGGGCCCAGGCCCATTAGACCTGAAACAATTTGTAGTAACTTAGATACTTTAATTTTTAATGAGAGGTTAGAAATAGGTTTATCAAAATTGATAATTATTCTACCGAGTAGTGGCGTTACAAGAATAACGTGTCATAGGAGGCGGCAGACGGACGCTGATGATGGGCAACAGTATATTACCAATAAAAACTGATAATTATTCTACCGAGTAGTGGCGTTACAAGAATATCGTGTCGTAGGAGGCGGCAAACGGACGCTGATGATGGGCAACAGTATATTACCAATAAAAAACTGAAAATTATGAAAAAAAACATGCGTGCCGTTCACACGCGACAGAAGTGAATCCTTCAAATGAAATGAAATATAAAATACAAATACTTTACGGCAAATGATTTATTTAATGTTATAGGTTAAACTACAAGTTCGGCATAAAATATAAGAAAATTTAATTTTATAGCAAATAAATGTAACAATTATTATATATATATATATATATATATATATATATATATATATATATATATATATATATATATATATATATATATACAACGTGTCCCAAAATTCAACGATAAGCCGACACCGGAGGATAGACCTGCCCCGGACTAATCGGGGAAAAAAAGAAAAAAATATATCCCAATTATATTTTAAGTTATATAAAAAAAATGAAATTCTTCAGAAATTGAGACCGTTTATGATATTTTTCACTACCATGACCACAATTTTTTTTTAATATTTGTTTCTTTTTTTTTATAGGCAACCTGAATAGCACTGCTATCTACCACAATTCTTAAAAAATCCATAATAACTCTTGTTTTATCACGAAAATTAATGAAACTTATTTTATTCCCTAAATTTCTGAAGACTTTTACTTTTAACCAAATTTAACTTATCATGGTGTAAAAAAAAAGTATGAACACTAGTATGGCAAGTTTTTTAAAAATTGACGCAACTAACTAACATTCCAAAATGGTATAATACTCTAGGCAAACAAGTTATAAAAAATATGGGTCTATGATTTCTTAACAGGGGCCAAATTCCTTAAATTGTAATTGTCAATAATCACTTTTACTACATGCCCAAAATGGATTCTTGTTACAATTGCTAGGAATTTTAATGGGGCATACATACCTTAGATTTTAGAGAGAGATAGATAGATAGAGATATTTACGTTAAAAAGAGACAACCACAGGGCGGGTAGAGAAGCTGTTATTATTCTCAGCAACTCAGTTCAGTATGCTCTGCTCCTTTGTTTACTGCGCACCGTTCCCAATTCATCTTACGTGGCTCTCGTACATACTATCGACTTTTGGCTTGGCTTTTTGGACTGGAATCGACCTGCAAACTTAACTGGCCTGACATTATTTGGACTGGAAGTGATCTGCAAACTGAACTGACCTGGCATTATCTTGGACTACGATTGTGTGTTTTGTGATTTAGAGTTCTGGCGCATTTTGGACTGTTTGGCGTTTAACATGCCGCAACCGTACACACCACAAAAATACGCTAATATGCATTTAATCTGGAGAATGCCGATGTAATGCTAACGCTGCTAGCGGACTGTATCAAAAAGATACCCAAATGCTCAAAGATATCCTGATTATCGAGTGTTTATTAATATGCATCAAGCGTTTTCGGAGGTTCGTATGCCATCCAATAGGAGAAGCGCTGGAAGACCTAGATTGGATCGTGATGAAGAAGTTCTCAATGAGATAGAAAATGATTCGACTACTTCGGTACGTGCCATAGAAGAAGCTACAGGAAAGTCCAAATAATGCCAGGCCAGTTAAGTTTGCAGGTAGATTCCAGTACAAAAAGCCATGTCAAAAGTCTATAGTATAGTCAAATAGTATGTACGAGAGCCACGTAAGTTGAATTGGGAACGGTGCGCAGTAAACAAAGGAGCAGATCGTACTGAACTGACTTGCTGAGAATAATAACAGCTTCTCTACCTGCCCTGTTGTTGCCTCTTTTTAACGTAAATATCTCTATCTATCTATCTCTCTCTAACATATAAGGTATGCATGCCCCATTAAAATTCCTAGAAATTGTAACAAGAACCCATTTTGGGCATGTAGTAAAAGTGATTACTGACAATTACAATTTAAGGAATTCGGCCCCTGTTAAGAAATAATAGACCCATATTTTTTATAACTTGTTTTCCTAGAGTATTATACCATTTTGGAATGTTGGTTAGTTGCGTCAATTTTTAAAAAAACTTGCCATACTAGTGTTCATACTTTTTTTTTACACCACGGTAAGTTAAATTTGGTTAAAAGTAAAAGTCTTCAAAAAATTTAGGGAATAAAAAAAGTTTCATTAATTTTCGTTATAAAACAAGAGTTATTCTGGATTTTTTAAGAATTGTGGTAGATAGCAGTGCTATTCAGGTTGCCTATAAAAAAAAAGAAACAAATATTAAAAAAAATTGTGGTCATGGTAGTGAAAAATATCATAAACGGTCTCAATTTCTGAAGAATTTCATTTTTTTATATAACTTAAAATATAATTGGGATATATATTTTTTTTCTTTTTTCCCCGGTTAGTCCGCGGCAGGTCTATCCTCCGGTGTCGGCTTATCGTTGAATTTTGGGACAAGTTGTATATAAGATACATAGATATTATATTATCTTTCAAGTAAAATAATAAGAGCGCCACCTACTTTATTCTACAGGTAGTCACGTACAAGGTGGTACGTAAAATAGACGCTAGATGGCCTGACTTTATGAAATCATAAATTTTTAATTTTTTTTCAATATGGTTTTTTTATTTGTTCAATTTTTAATATTTACTGCCACTGCCACGTGATTGCCATTACTATATGAAATTATAGATTGTGAAAAGTGAACTATACAAATGGGAAACGCATGAAATTACCTACTACCGGTTTTGATGGTTCTTTTTTTTATTCAAATTAGAATTACTTGGACTCATTTATTTTATTACTTATTTTATTTAAACGACATATTTTAATTCGATCATGTTTAAAATATCTAAAGAAGTCTTCGACATTGTTAATGTACTTCTAAAAGTACGTGACAGCCACAAATTTTTATGACGAGCAGATTAATTTCGCTTCGAATGTTTATACTCTTTTCGATATACCTTATATAGTATAGTACTCACTAATTACAAAAAGATTTATATCAATTTTACCTATTACGAAGTTGAGGTTTGGCCGTTCTTCACTGCTTCGTACCTTGTTGAACAAAACGCGTAAGCGACGCCGTTTCGGCGACGTTTACGACTTTTTTCTCACGAGCATTGAGCTATATGCTTATGCTTATGCTTCCTATCTTATTTTCTCCCACGTTAAATCTTATGGATTTATGTGTCTGTCTCTTTTTACTGGCGCTTTTTCGTTTTATAGACTTTCAAATCACAACGTTGCTTATGAAGTTTTCACTTCAAAAAAAATTTTTGCTAACTCGCCTGTCAAGCGTGACAACTATTGCGAGATCCCCCCCAATTAAGTAATCTATGGCCATCCCCATAGATTGCCATTTAGCTTTCTGAAATAGATTTATAGATAGTAGTGTATAAAGGGATAACGGTTAGTTTTGTGTGTAATGTCATCAGACTCATAAGAATCGACTTTTTACCCTAAATCGAATACATACATTTCGAACCCCATGTACTTGGGTGAGAGATTATTATTTCGATGCTTCCTTTGTCGTACCCCAATCAAAACGTGACGTGGAATCTTGAGAAAAACAGAGACAGACCGACAGCGAAAAGAGTTCTGTCAGAACTGTATAGGGAAAAAGGGAAAAATAGTAACAGCAAATTATATTTATTAAAAAAGTTTTCTTAAATAAATATAATAGCCTTCTATTTAAACTATAACTAAACATATTATATCCAATTAAACAGTTACGAAAGATTAATAAATCATTCAATATGTAGCCTACCCCACTCTATACAAAGCAAATGGTCGCAGTACTACATAGTGAGTAACAGAATAGGTAACCAACAAATATTTAAAACAATAATTCTTAAAAAAACTAATAATACAAAAATCACAGAACAAACACAACACATTATAGATAGAGATATTATAATTATTTATTGACACCAAAATAATAAGATGAAACAATGTACAAAATGTTAAAAGGTCTTATTGCTAAAAGCGATTTTTTGTAACCATTATTATATTTAATTTCTATATATTTTATTTCCGTTTGACATAAACGAGATAGTTATACCATCTTTCAAGCCATGAGATCGTTTTTGTATTTACAACCTCGCGGGACGTAAAGGTATGATAGGTAGATTTTCATAGGCCCCCATATTACGGCAAGTATTCATAAAAATATTAGTTAAACAGGGTTATTTTTCAAAAAGTAACCAAATTTTAAACTTAAGTTCAATGGGCTGTTTGTCTACCGATCAACCCTAACGAATATGTACAGTAAAATCATTTAAAATAATGTATTACCACGCATTTTGTATTTATAAAATAAAAATTACAGAATTTTTGGAATTTTTTAAATTCTTCACCATTTGCCAATACTCGTATTACTTATTCTGAGACTTCCCTGCAAATTTGGCCGGTTATTGCAAAATAACCCAGTATAATATAAAAATTAAAAAGCAAGTAATAATATACCGTTATTGAAGTTTTCGAAAATATTAGTAAATATTTGGAAAATCCAATTTTTCATGCCTTATGGCCTAATTTTGATGAGAAAAATAAATTATATTCCTGGTTTTTAAAATATATTCTTTACGATTTAGCACTCTATTATTTTAACACGTAGTGTCATCTACACGAAAAAAAATAATGTTTAAAAAAATAAATCGATTTTGTACGTATAAAATCGATATAGGCTGTATGGTACATTTGGCCTTTGTCTATGTAGGGCAAAGAAATATGAAAGCGCCTTTGAATTTTTCATAGCAATACAACTTATAAAAGTTGAAAATCATTTTATTATAATAGACTACGCGTACCTACTAGGCTATCGATATGAAATTTAAAAAAAACCCGGTCTAGATACGTCAATTCTTTCGGGAGCAATCGTAACCACATACAAAATTAACATTCGGACGTCCACGTACTTTTTTTTAAAACCGTGTTTTTTCAAAGTAGCAATATTAAATGATTTAAAAAATATAACATTGATTAATTATTCGATATATGGCTACTCATATTATCGTATAAGTGCAATATGGTTATGATAGGAACACAAAACTGCTTGATCTTGACGTGTCGGAAGTAAAGCCCTTTTTGCCCCCTTTGAGTATATTACTCAAAGAGTAGGCGTTAGATATTTATGAATGACTATCAGTTAAAACACGGTAATATTATGTTAAAATAATGCAGTATCACTCATTCTGAATTTAAAATATAAAGAGGAGAGAATGTTTGAGATTTTTTTAATAATTTGCTTTCACCATTCGCTATTACTTATTCTGAACCTGCTTTGCAAATTTGGGCGTATATTTGAAAATAACCCTGCATTACAGTACCCGTAGTTGTCAGTATAACGATTATAAATTTCCATTAAAGGTTTTATTACGAATATTTTACGACATCTGGTAGGATCAGTGAAAATATTTGAAAAGAACTGTTATCTGATGATAAAAGATGTGAAATAAACATAAACAATAAAAATAAAAAAATGAAACTTCTTTATCGACATAGTAGAGAAATGTAGTACGGTTTTTAAAAAAAACGTCACGATTTCTTGTAACGGTTTTACCGCCGGGGCTGCTTGAGCAATAAAACAAAAGAGGAGGACGTATAGACGTTTATCACAAATTTTATCAATGATAATAATACTGAGAAAATTTCACCTGCTGACAGAATTTTAGCCTTTGTTCGGGCTCTGTACTCTCGCGCACGCTCTGCTGCTGATTATGGACGTTTCCGCTAAATTTGAGTATAACCACTCGCTGCATTTTTGGGGCTCTGCACGCTCGCGTGCGCTATGCTGTTGAATTTGAACGTTTTCGCTGGATTTGCGAAATATCACTCGCTGCCCCCCGGCCTCACTCTTTTCCCGGGCGTGCGCTCCGCTGCTGATTTTGAACGTTTTCGCTGGATTTGAGAAATAACACTCGCTGCCTTTTCCCGGGCTCTGCACGCTCGCGTGCGCTTTGCTGCTGATTTTGAACGTTTTCGCTGGATTTGGGAAATAACACTCGCTGCCTTTTCCCGGGCTCTGCACTCTCGCGTGCGCTCCGCTGCTGATTTTGAACGTTTTCGCTGGATTTGAGAAATATCACTCGCTGCCTTCTCCCGGGCTCTGCACGCTCGCGTGCGCTTTGCTGCTGATTTTGAACGTTTTCGCTGGATTTGAGAAATATCACTCGCTGCTTTTTCCCGGGCTCTGCACGCTCGCGTGCGCTTTGATGTTGAATTTGAACGTTTTCGCTGGATTTGAGAAATATCACTCGCTGCCTTTTCCCGGGCTCTGCACGCTCGCATGCGCTCCGCTGCTAATTTTGGATGTATAGCATTTACATTTGGGATAAAAGTAGTGGTTTGAGAAAAATGATGGTGGTGAACGTCAACTTCGACTATATTATTTGAATATTATTTTGATTTTCCGGATTCTGTCATTATTGAATCTGAATATCTATTAATCAATTAATGCATAGTGCAAAAATCACTATTTAATTAAGTGTACGAAAATCATCTTTGTAATTTCATTAATTTCAAATTCGGAAATACAGATTTTGAATTGAATGAGTAAATTTATATTTTTTAATTAAATAAAATAAAAACAATACTTAACGAATTTAAAATAAAATAAATATAATAAATGCACTCACATGTTTGTCTATGAAAAGAAAGAAATAATTACTCTCACTTTCACAATAAATACACATGAATTTAGAAAAATCTTTTTAATACGTCACTTAATTCTGAACAATATTGTCACAATTTCAAATACTTAACAAAAATGTGTACGAGATATCAGATAACTGCTTAGGTGTGCATCAAGTGTACATTGACTAAACGCTTAAACACGATACACAAATGCATTATTATTGTAAATGTATGTTATTTTTTATACTGTACTAAATTAGTCCACTACGTTAATAAAGAAGTTTCACGATAGATGGCACTAAAAGTATAATTTTCTAAAATTTTGGAACTATTATACCAATACTGTTAAAATGAGCGTGCGATTTTATACACCGGGCTTACGCCACAATGCACAAACCTGGTGCATTGAGATTTACATATATTTTGCAAAACTTACTGAAACCATAAAGTTTTAAAATTTAATAGTTATATTGCTATCTATCAGCAATTAGTGGAACTAACGAATTGTTACTACCGACATCAATTTAAAATTGTGCATAGTTTTCGAATCTTGAGTTATGCATTTATTACGTTGCCATCTAGCGACGATTTTCAGAATTTCATAATTTTATTTTACTCGTGCAGCCCTGGCGATGTAACATTACAAGAAAACGAGACTTTTTTTAATACCGTACTAAATTTCTCAAAAGCATACAGTCGAATTGAAATCCTCCTCTTCTTTGGAGTCAGCTAAAAAACACACACACCGTGGTCAAAATCAACGAGAAGCACATCATCACAATGAGTTGGAATGATGAAGATAATTCCGACTCACCAGTTCGTTTGTTCATAGCGTCCTCATCCGGATCGTAGGGAGAGTCGGAGCCGTTCATCCGGAACTCTTGAAGCACGTCGTCTATGGAGCGCTTAGCGGTCACTGAAGTTAAACAAAATACAATTAGCGGACAAAAGAAAGACAATGAGGCAGTCAATGTAACAATATCTTTAGTCAATATTAAAAATTCTGTATTACAATAACTATAACATTTTTTAAATATTGTTAGCAAAAAACATATTAATAGTAATATAGAATATTTTTATAGATAAAAGGTATTAGTATTAGAGTAGTACAGTGCACTTCCGTAGAGAAGAATATCCTGTGTTCTGGTCCTGGAGTATACATAGAAGAGACGGTATAATTACAGTCGGCGAGCTTTGAGTATTCGACCAACTGGAGAGGCCGTGCGCGTCATTCCTAAACAAAAACTCTCACTACTGTATACTTCACTACAATGGCCATAATATTATAATGGAGTGTAGAAGTAAGGAGTAACAGACTGTGTATTAAAAATGTCCATAGACAACCGTTAAATAAGGGTGGCGCCACTATAGCTACGGGCTAAATTTTAAAGAACGTGCAAAAAAATATTAGTGGGATAGACGACTTTTTCGAGGATATATCTGCTAAATAAAATTATTTTAGATTTTAGATCTACTGAGCAGTTTAGCAGCACACCTCAAACCGTCGACAACTGCTAAGTTCATTTCATCCCGGTAGCTACTCCAGCGCTGTTGTGGAGAGTTTTTGAACTGTTATTTACTGCTTACAGATGACCACTTTTTCAACTATTCTACTATGGGAGTTACTTCTCCTACTCTATTCCTTACTTCTACAGTCCATATTATGTTAAAAGTATTCCTCCTTTTCTTAGACTTCCTCCTTTTGGTAGATTAGACGTTTTTGATTGATTTTTGTTTTTATTTTGCATAAAAATACACTGCATTTCGGCATTTTTTTCGGAGCTCGATTAACTGGCACAATAACTTGCGGAATGGCGCCGGATTTTTCTTTCTTTTAAGCTATTGCATAGCTTTTGTCGCGGGCTTTGGGCGCGGCGACCGAATCAAGAAATTCCGTAACGAAAAAAACCTAATACCCGAAAACATAACGTTGCTAAGTTCGGCAGTCTTCGGCACGGTGTTTGTGTGCGTGCTACTAGACGTATGCGTGTAGACTAGTTGTATGTATTGTAAGATAATAAAAATATTTATAGTTTATTGCAAGAAGCATATAGGTACTTTGGATTTATATGAGTCGTCGTCATGCTAGCAACTTTCGTGAGTTTAGAGTATTTAGTAAACACATACTTTATAGAAAATTATCGTTTGTCGGAAGAACACGTTAATTACCATAAACCTATAGTTTCAATGATAAAAATTCCTGAATAATCTACATCTATTGTAAGATAATAAAAATATTTTAAACAATATTAACTTCTGATTTATTCAATAAAAGAAAAAAAATCTGTTTTCTTATCGGTCACCACGCTCAAAAAGTGTAAAGTAAAGTAAAGTAAAGTTACAGCCTATATACGTCCCACTGCTGGGCACAGGCCTCCTCTCATTTCTGAGAGGGTTCAAAAAGTGTAACTTGAATTAATATCAAAGAAAAAAAATACAGCATAAATAAAATAAATAAATAATTATAATTGCATAAGTTGATTTATGCAATAGCTTTACCGCGGCAGTCCGCGAGTGCCACACGTATTTTTTTGAAAATGTATGCTGTTGGGCCTGCGGCATTTACAGCTTCATGGAAATAGACTCGTGAGCGAGGACTCTCGAGCTATTGGATCCAACGATGCTGCTGGCAGTTCCGAGGTTCTCCAGCCCGGCTTTTGGGGTGAGGCTTCTCTAACTAGGGGAGAGGGGTGCTCGATGTGATTCAAGGGCCCCTCTGAAGGAAGTACGAACCTCGGCTTGAACCAAGATCGCAATATGGAGTGGCGCACGACGCAGAGCAACTGGTTTTATAATAACAGATATTAGTCGGACTCTCGTATCTTTGACAGAGGGGTATGCCTTGCGATGCCGCCTCCTTTGGCTTAATACTCAAAGGCTGGGAGGCATTCCATCTTTGTTCTCAGAGGTGACCACGCATCTGAAGCATTCTTTGTTTGAATTTAGCTCCAGTAGCGACTTAAAATCGAAGGCAATGTGAATTCGTTTGTCACCTCGATTTTATAAAAAAAAATGTATAAAAGTAAGGTTCACTTACCATCTGAAAAGCTAGCAGATTTCTCCTTCATCTTTCCCGCCTCCTGCATGCGGTTCTGAAGTGGCAGCCACGTCTCCTGACTGCCCCATAGTGAGAACTGTAAGTTTTCAATGCAACATGACTAACACACACATCGAATGAGTAACAACTGATACAATATTTTTCTCAAATTTTAACATACGGTATTTCAGCTTATTCATATTAGTTTACTGCTGTATAAACTAAAACACAAATTAATTAAAATGTACTAATACTATACATTTAATTTAAATATACGTGGTAGAGCCAAGCTGCAACTATATTATGGTTTGTAACACGAATGGGTCGGCTCGACCGGGGTAGGACCACGCTTTCACAAAACACCAGCGTAAAATAGCAGCTTAATACTGCTGTTTTTCGTATGGTCAGAGTAGATATCCAAAAGGGTCTCCCCTTTTTTACTAGAAACGAGGCATTCCATCTTAGTTCTCAGGGGTGTCAATTTACCTACATTTTGATTTTTAATCGAAGATAAATATAGATGTCTATGGGCCACAGCATCCATCAACCATCAGGTGGACTTTGGTCTGTGTGCTCGTTATTAAAAGTAAAAAGTAAAGTTGCAGCCTATATATGTCCCACAGCTGGCACAGGCCTCGTTTTGTTTGAGAGTTTTGGGGCAAGGAAGTGTCGGCCGCGCTGCCCCAATGCGTGTTGGCGAACTTCACATGTCTTCGAAATATTTTTTTTCTTATTCCTCAGACATGCAGGTTTCCTCACGATGTTTTCCTTCACCGCCGTACTCGTTATTGGCTCTTATTATATTCAAAAAACGTAAATACATTACTAAATACTAATGAAGACATTTTACGTTATTCAAAGTTAGTATTAAAATCAAAATAAGTTTTTTTACTTTATTTTATAAGCTTAGTATCTCCAAAACAGGATTAGTAGATAGAGCTTTTCTTCAACATTGTGGTATTGTTTCAAAGTCAATTTTGCTTTTGTTTTTTGTTTGAAACCCTACATGGTTTATATTCACATTTGGACCCGGGAGGTGGCGCTGTCATCAATATCTAGAAATCACCCGTTCGTGCATTGCAACAATAAGCTGCTACTTTACGTTGGTATTCTGTGAGAGCGTAGTCCTTCCCCGGTCGAGCCGACCCATTCGTGCTACAACCATAATACAGTTGCAGCGTGGCTCTACCACGTATAAAAGCCTTAATTGTCACGCTGGGCAGGTGCATTGTCGATCGCAGCACCAAACTTCTCGCACCTGTGATGCTGTTATCTCCGCCGTAAACGACATGGCTATTACCGCCACCTATCGGAAGCTATAAGATATCGTCGTGCCTTACGAAATCCACGGGACGATACGGGGTGATAGATTCCAGAGATACATTTTTATTCGTTCTCTTATAACCCCCCTACATTATCCTATCATGTATATATCATAATGATGCGGTGGCCCAGCGAAATGGCCATGCCATAGTTTGTGATTACAACGTTTTTCGAAATGGACTTGGAAGTTGAAAGCATTAGCCACTGCGGAAATATATTTATATACAGTACCCCAAACAAAAAGAAATGGCATAAAAGAAGATGGTGGATGTTATCTATCCATCGCACACATTTTTATCTTTGTGTTGTTCATGTCTTGGATTCCATATCACGCTTTATCCCCGATATTGTTCTAAAAATTTTATTAATTCGTTGTGAAGTCACGTACCTATTCGTAATTTGTAAGAAAATACAAAGCACGAACGTTCACACTCAACCATCGAGCACACGTGGAAGCCACGTGTAGATGAGTACGCCATCGCTGGCACACTACCTATAATGTGCGGCTGAAAAACCGACACTGACCTCTCAAGACCATCGCACGCGCCATAAGCCATCCGACATCCCCACGCCCTCCACACGCTAGCTCATCATATTGACCACCACTACACGGCTATAATAAATACAAATATACCGTGGCCACTACAGACCTTAACCGATCTCCGCTGCAGAACTTAGGCTTCCCCCATTGATATTTGCCATAGTTGTAACGCTTGGCAAAGCAGATCGGCAACCGCAGTTTTTATTTTGGTCGTTATTAAGAAGACGCTGCTGCCCATGTCCTGATTTATTTCACTCTGACGCCTCTTAACCCGCTAGCTCAGAAAGAACAGCAAACAGGTTAATAGCTCAGAAAGAACAGCAAACAGGTTAATAGCTCAGAAAGAACAGCAAACAGGTTAATAGCTCAGAAAGAACAGCAAACAGGTTAATAGCTCAGAAAGAACAGCAAACAGGTTAATAGCTCAGAAAGAACAGCAAACAGGTTAATAGCTCAGAAAGAACAGCAAACAGGTTAAGACACCCTGGGGTAGTGCACTGCCACTACTCGGTATAAAAATTAAAGTTACAGCCTATATACGTCCCACTGCTGGGCATAGGCCTCCGCTTATTTCTGAGAGGGTTTTAGGGCAAGGAATTGTCCGTCGCGCTGCCCTAATACGTGTTGGCGAACTTCACGTGTCTTTGAAATATTTTTTTCTTATTTCCCAGACATGCAGGCTACCTAACGATGTTTTCCACGGTATAAATATTATAGATAAATATATGAAGTAAAAATATAGTTATATGACCGTTATAGATATCTATTATTACCGCGTTAGTATTTTAACACACAACACACAAAACACATATTTTTTTGTAATTTGTATGTTAAGCATATAAACATACAAATTACTAAAAAATATGTGTTTTTTTAAATATGCCACGTTATTTTTTCAATTTTATACTTACAGCGTCATTCGATTATGAGCTTTGTTCAAATTTTCAAGTATGTAACTAATCGGGATGTTACTGAGTTTAAATTTAAAATCAATCACTGACCAAACCGACATACATGAAAGCGAGCGTAAAATATTCCACGTGTTTTAAAACAAATTACTTTTGGATTATTAAATATTGTTGAGGGTATAACTTATTAAATGCCCGCGCTACCTATGAACTTGCAACGTGCACTTACAAATATTTCAAAACAAAATAAATAACACCGCATTGCTGGCTTTGACACATTGTTTTAAATTTCAAGTTGATAAAAACAAAAGAGTATTAATATTATAATTTAAATTGAATTATTTTTACTTACTTAAATACTTTTAAACTTTTAAATTTCACGTGAAAAAACTACCTCAAATGTAAAATAATAAAGAACTAGATGTAATTTTTTAATTTATGTATATATCCTCTTACTTACATTAATTAATCATTTTGTTTTTTTTTTTTAACCAAAAATAAGACTCACCGTCTCCGAAGTACTTCCACTGCCATAATCACTGTAATAACTTGACCCCATAATTAAAAAAGTAATATGTAATTTGAAACAACCGTCGCGTATTGAGTCTCAAGCGGAAATGATGTGGAAAAAAAAACAATAGTACTCAAACTCAAATGTTTAAATTTAGAATATGGACCACGTTTCGTATTGAAACCAAAAGGGACAAATATATTATTTCAAGTAACGGGCGAACCTTTTTTAATAAAATTGTAGCCTATATACCTAAACTGTAGGTACTTAGTTTAGTTTACGTGAGTAAAGAATTTAGTTATATAGGTAGGTACTATTCTCGATTACAAAGACGATGCTATGAATTCTTTAACACACAGGACACAATTTTACTTTGTGACTGATACGACTTGTGGAACTTCAAGAAATGAGCTTATTCCTTTTTAAACGCACCTGCAATACCCCTGGTGTTGCAGTTGCTCCTGGCCGGCGGTCGACACATTACATAAGGTACCTTCGTAGGCCCCTTCTATAAGGAATATATATTCATATTCAAATTAATAGTTTGTTGGGCCAAAATTGCTGCGCAAGAGATGAAGGAGTAAGCTAGGGGCTTAAGCTCGGTGTTTTGCTAAAAATACTCACAGAATACAGCGTAAAATAACAGCTCAATGCTGCTGTGTTTCGTAGGGTGAGTGTAGAGAACTGAAGAGTGGAGCTCCTTTTTACTGAGAACGAGGCATTACATTATCCATCTAAGTCCTCAGGGGTGACACCGCATCTGCATTTGTATTCTTAATCGAGAATAAATGTTTTACTTGGCCACAGCACTCACTTACCATCAGGTGAACAGTGCTCCTTTGTCAACCTTATTCTATAAAAAAAACTATTTGGTTACTTGGTTCAGCCTTGTTTCAAATTTTTTATAAATTCGAAATTATGTTACCGCGGTATTAAATCAAATACACCCAAGTTTAACCGACGCAAATTGGCTGCACCTAGGTACTTGTAGTTTGTAAGTGCACTACAGCTTTTAGCCGTGACGATGATAATGTAAGTTAAGGTTTCTCTGGGACGGCTTTTGTATTTATATATGATAATGTTTTAGGTACTCTCCAAGTAATAAGTTAACCCTGAGAAAATTATAATAATTTTCCTAACTCCTAGCAAAACTCTGTTGCCCTGGTAAATCATGATAAGTCAAGATCATGGATAAGACCGGTGTTTCCTTAATTGAGTCGAGCATGGATCTCAATCTGTAGGAGAGCAAGCTCAAACCGCCCTGGGCGTTAATCCTATACAAACTAGCCCTCGTCTCCATGTCTAGATGAAGATCAAGGGGCGTTAGGAAGGCGAAGGCGAGAAGGGCATTGCATTTATGGCCGCTCCAGGCGATGGTCGCATAGCTTAAGTTGCCATTAAGCAGGCAGTTCTTTGTGGACTATTGAGTCTGTCCGGAGTCGTATTTTGGTTGGCCTTGTTGCACCAGACAGTGGAGGCGTAGATGAGAATCGGCCTCACTATGCTGCTGTAAACAACAACAACAGGCTACAGTTGTTTTCACCTCTGAGGACTGAGATGGGAAGCCTGACAGATTGAAATTGTACCTCCTAGTTGAAATAGGTAAGAGGGTACCCACCCGAACAGACTCTGAGACGGAAATGGCGTCCCACCACCTATTGAACCATGGAATTTTCATCTATTGAACCTTACTGACCTGATGGTTGACATCCCCATTCCTCATCTTACTGAGTTATATGTGTGCTGCTGATTAGTAACCTATTATGTTATTACTTCAAGGCCAACGTCAAACACTTACTAGACTCTAGACCGTGGTAAAACAGTCGCATAGAGTAGATTGTCGGTAAACACACACACACACACACACACACACACACGCACGCACGCACGCACGCACCCACGCACGCACGCACGCACGCACGGACGCACGCACGCACGCACGCACGCACGCACGCACGCACGCACGCACGCACGCACTCACGCACGCCCGCACGCACGTAACACGTAAGCACGCACGCACGCACGCACGCACGCACTCACGCACGCACGCACGCACGCACGCAACGCACTCACGCACGCACGCACGCACGCACGCACGCACGCACGCACGCACGCACGCACGCACGCACGCACGCACGCACGCACGCACGCACGCACGCACGCACGCACGCACGCACGCACGCACGCACGCACGCACGCACGCACGCACGCACGCACGCACGCACGCACGCACGCACGCACGCACGCACGCACGCACGCACGCACGCACGCACGCACGCACGCACGCACGCACGCACGCACGCACGCACGCACGCACGCACGCACGCACGCACGCACGCACGCACGCACGCACGCACGCACGCACGCACGCACGCACGCACGCACGCACGCACGCACGCACGCACGCACGCACGCACGCACGCACGCACGCACGAACGCACGCACGCACGCACGCACGCACGCACGCAATATCAAATTCTTTATAGATTCTTTAGTTTATGTAATCTTAATATATATAAATTACGTGTCACGTTGTTTGCCCGCTATGGACTCCTAAACTACTTAGCCGATTTTAATCAAATTTGCACACCGTGTGCAGTTTGGTCCAACCTGAGAGATAGGACAGTTTTTTTGCCCACAATATTTTTTGCGAATTTAAGCATTTTATTGGACATGACAAATTGTCGTCGAAAAGGGCAGAACAACGTCTGCCTGGCGAGCTAGTGTACTACTAAATTATAAACTTATAGCACGCTGCGATTACCTTTAAGTGATTATACATTTATAAATAAGACAATGGTTAATTTTCTTTAACGATGTCATTATGTATCAATCATTGGTAATCCTAATAAATAGACATAAAAAACAAAAACGAGACTTTTGTTTCGCGCGGGCGATTTCTGAATCTCGCCAACAGCGCCATGTACCGGTCCAAATTAAAATCGAAACCATCTAGGGACCCATTCAAACACACAAAAAATTTCATGATTAATCGTTTTGAGTTTTAGCGAAACTAACGCACAACAATTGATTTTTATGTATAGAGATTGCTGTGTGTACAGTTAAAAGTGAAATACACTTTGGCTTAATATACAAACCTCGAGTATGTTGTGTAGGTAGGGTTGGTCAAAGGGTTTTTTCACATAATGTTTATTTTAAGTTCAAATGGTATTTATAAATGAACAATGTATTTCAGTACCGTCTACCGTCGCACCTGTCGCACTGTGGATACAAAGAGGCCGTTGTTTTGTGTAATTAGACGCTGCATTGTTTGCAAGGAAACACTGGAATTATACCAATATAATCACAAATACAGTTTATTTCTTACATTTGATGCTGTTATTCATACGTGGTAGAGCCACGCTGCAGCCATATTATGGTTGTAGTTATAGCACGAGTGGGTCGGCTCGATGGAAGGACCACGCTCTCACAAAATACCAGCGTAAAATAGCAGCTTAATACTGCTTAGAAACATAAACAGAAACAGAAACTTTTTTATTCAATGTAGATTATAAGCAATACTTATTGAAAGTCACTTTTTTCATTTACATGGAGACTTAGTGTTTCGTATGTAGAGTGTTGAAATCCGGAGACCCTTTTTTTACTGGAAACGAAGCATTCCGTTTTGGTCCTCAGGGGTGACAACGCATCTGCGTTTTGATTCTTAATCAAAGATAAATGTAAATGTAATGCTTTGGCCGGTTATTGTATAATAACCCTGTATAACGATTCAATTTTAATTTTGTTTTGGTCATATACCTGGTAAGTAGTGCGTTGTCTCTATGTAATGTTGTGCGTGCGTTGTAAAATGTTGTGATATGTTTTTGCGGGGGTCGAGAAGGGCGTGCGTCAAGATCGTCGTGTGTGTGTGTGTGTGTGTGTGTGTGTGAAAATAAGGGTGACAAACGAGCACACAGTCCACCTGATGGTAAGTGGATGATGTGGCGCATAGACATCTACATTTATCTTCAATTACGAATCAAAATGCAGATGCGTTGCCAGCCCTAAGGACTGAAATAGAATGCCTCGTTTCCAGTAAAAACGGTCTCCGGTTGTCTACACTCACCATACGAAACACAGCAGCATTAAGCTGCTATTTTATGCTGGTATTCTGTGAGAGCGTGGTACTACCCCGGTCGAGCCGACCCATTCGTGCTGCAACCACAATACAGCTGCAGCATGGCTAGACTACCGATAAAACTCTAAAATCGCCAGACAAACAGCTTTTCGGGAAGATAACGCGTGGCCTTTGATTTAACAAAAGCCGAGTTAGTAATTAGACCGAACGTTGAAGTGTATTGTTTAAATTTTAAATCTTTTCTATATACTACTAAAGGATCTAAACTGGTGGACTCTATTAAAGTCCAATGCTAAACACCAGTGGCAAACTAAAAATTAAGTGAACTTACTAGTTCGTTTTAATTAAAGTTCTTTTTGTGATCTCTTACTTTTTTTTTTGCGCCCGAAGCAATTAAAGGGCTATCTTATATGTAGAGAGGCGGAAATGCGTTACGCATACCACGATAGCCGGTCTACCGGGGGGAACCTAAGTGTTACCCTCTAAAAACCGCCTTTGGGGACTGGCAACTGGCTGTTTAAGCTTTCTTATGCCGTATCGGGAGCGACCCTCTTTTGGGAAAAGAGGGCGCAGGCGGCTACGAGCCGCTGAGTGAGTGCCTACGAAGGCAAATTAATTATGAATAGTTTAATTTAGTTTAATTAGAGTTGGCCTGAGCCGCCAGGAGGCAGTTCAGGTCGTTTGATAGTTTATTAGGCGGGTCCGAGTGAGAGTTTCTCGGCCTGCGGACTCGATAGCGAGAGGGGGGTGGGGCTGCATAAGTAGCTGCCTCACGAATAAAATGGTTGGAGTGCGACTCTGAGGCTTTGAAGAAGTTCTCAGAGAGTTTTTTTGAGAAATTGTTGAATTGTAGGGAGCTCTAGGTCCCGATGAAGGTCGGCATTACAGACGTACCAAGGTGCGTTCGCAGCTCGACGACAGAAAAGGTTTTGAACTATTTGGAGTTCATTAATAATTTTAGGGTCGGCGT